GATGCTTAAGTCTATTTATAAATATCTGGTGATCCTGCCAAATGATGAGGGTTGTCATCCTATCAAAAGAAGTGGCTATCCAATGGTTCTACTGGCAGTCACATTTACAAAGTGTTCCACTGGTCTTACTGTCATGGGCAGCCTACATCACATCTATGATTTTGTAGCTTGACCATAACTCTACTTCAAGACATTTAAAAAAACAGGAATTTCCATCAAACACAATAAATCTGAGATATTGTTCTTTTTCGAAAATCTGTCATCAGGCTGAGCCACAATGATCAAGGTATCTCCCTAGACACCAATTAGAAATCAAGCTTCATTCTCTAGTGCAGGTTTTAATGTGACTGGTGTCTATGATGGAGATTCAAAAGTTTTTATCTTAGACACTTGACCAAATAACGGTTAAGGTGTCCATAATCTTCTAATCATCTCAGGTTTTTAAAACCAATGGGCAACCTTGTAAATATCATCTTTGTTTTTTATAAAAGGCAACCTTGTGAATATTCCATGCTTCAAACACAAATCCCTTTAGAGCTCTAGTTGTATCCACAATGTAGGTCCAGGCTGTATTTGAAGGCCGGGAAGGAAACCACCAAGTTGCACAGATTCGGCAACTCTCTTTTGTTGGGTGAAAAGACAAAGAAACTGGTTCTGGTTTACCTCATGAGAATGTTTAAAATCTTTAAAAAAAAAAAAAGTTTATTGCATGTAAAAAAAAAATTGTGTTCATCTTTCTTAAAATTACAAAAAGGACAACCGAACATAAAAAATCTTCAAAAAGGCACCATACTTAGTCCTGACGGTCTATAGAGAGATCCTCTGGTATGTGATGTAGAGGGGTCTCAGACTCAGGTGACCCCTCCTGTTTCATACCACCATTCTCAATCCCTTCATTAGTCCTCCCAGATGGCGGCTCAGCGCTGTAAGAAGATGTACTGCAGTACATGATGAATCCCACTATACACACGACAAACGCCAGAATGTAGAGAACGGAAAACTGCAGAGGGAAAAAAAATTAAACTTAAAATTTGGTAATGCTAACTTTGTATTGAAGATTAGTGGCTATGACAATATTGCATTGATGTTTAGGGAAACAACTTTAACTTTGATTGGTGTTTCTTTATTTATGACACATATTTATATAGTTTATCAATCATTTACATTCACATCAGTCCCTGCCCTCATAGAGTTTACAATCTAAAGGTGCCCATACACTTTACAATTTTCTGCAGATTTTCTGTGGTCAGATGGAAAAAGTGCAACAGATTGGCCCAGCTGGAGATTACTCCATCCACACAGTTAAGTGTAGATGGAGGAATCTGTTGCACCTTTTCCATCTGACCACAGAAAATCTGCAGATAATTGTAAAGTGTATGGGCAGCTTAAGAGTCCAATCCATGGAGCTTACAGTCTAAGCCAATTAACCTACCAGCTTGTCCTTGGAGTGTGGAAGGAAACTGGTGTACCAAACACAAAGCACAGGGAGAACATGCAAACTCAATGCAGATAGTATTTCTGGCCAAACCAGGATTAAAACCAGGGTTCTCAGTGCTGCAAGGCAGAAGTGTTAACCACTGAGCCAATGTGATGGTGTTCAGGACCATTAAAGACTGCTTGAAAATGAAGCCATTAGAAGAGAGATCCTCTACTAAAGCGGTGAAGTTAAGCAGCAGGGGAAAAGAGCTGACATTAACCAACAGACATTCTATATGCTTTGGTTCACTGTACTAAATGTTCAAAGCCAAGGCTGGCATTACAGTCACCAGCATACCACGTTTCTGAGATAGGGAATATTGTTTTCTACTTTCTTTTGGAAGAAATCTGAGAATCCACTTCTGTCTGCATTCTTGGAATGTAAAAGTAGTGCCCAGAAACAAACAGTCTCTGTTAAGCTTGCCATACACGTATAGATTATCTGCAGAATTGCTATGGTCAGATGGAAAAAGTGCTCCATCTAGGCTAAACTGTGTGGATGGAGAAATCTCCCACTGGGCCAAGCTTCAGTGTCTTGCTAGTCGGCCCTGCTGCCTCTCCAAATATCTGAACAATTCCTGCATCCAATTAAATCAGATTTTTCAGGTATTTGGAGAGTCAGTGGGGCCGACTAGCAAGATACTGAGGCTTGGCACAGTGGGAGATTCAGTTTAGCGTAGATGGAGGAATCTGTTGCACTTTTTCTATCGGACCATAGAAAATCTGCAGATAATCTATAGGTGTATGGCCAGCTTCACTTGAAAAGACATGATGCTCTCCTATTTCTGGGTCCTGCGTGAAGTCAGGAACTGGAAATGAGCTGATAATGGTCCACCTGGTGGTAGTGAAATAGTGGTAGTGAAATAGTGGTAGCTGCAGGGGAAACAGTTAAGCCACCATTGGGTGGATAAAATCCCCTGCAATGGTGGTAGAACCTCTGGGGACCTCTCACAAAACCTAGAACCCCAGTTGAGGAACCCTGAGCTATGGTATGTGTCCATGGGTGGACAACACTTTCTTTTTCTCAGGGTTGGCCATTCTTTTCTCTACTCTAGAGACTAGAGTATAGTCATGCATCTTAGGCATAACTGTGTGATAGATCTATCAAAAGGGGACTTTAAAAAAAAAAAAAAAAAAAGTCACTTCTATGTTGTGCCTTACTTGCCCAGGTCCATCTGTACAAACTGCATTGGAAACAATATCTACAACTAGTTTCAATGTTAATGGGACAAAATGCCACACAGTGTGAGGGGTGTTTGGAGGTACATTTGGCCAGTGCTTGGATATACCCTTTTAAATTGGGCAACAATAAACAATACAATAATAACTGTTAGATTATAATAAGGTGTTTACTGACCGCGTATCCAAATAAAAAGAGGCCAAAGAAGAGACTGTAGATGTCGGCGGTTAGGATGCCTAGGTTGACGGAGGTGGCACTGCTGACTTTCATGACAAGTGGCATCACACTGTACAGACCGAACATGCACAAAGCAAAACCTGCAAACAGCAATCCTACAATACAAAAATAAAAAGACTGTTAACTAGGGATGCACCGATATATCGGTCTCCGAAACATATCGGCCGAAAATTGCACTTTTGGCAAAATTTCAAAAGTGCCATTTTCTGGCCGATATAGCGGTGCATCCTATTCTCTCCTCCCCGCTGGACGCTGCTCTGTGTCCCAGCGCGGAGGAGAGAAACTGTCGAAGGCGGCCAAGCGCTGCGGGAGGAGAGCGCTGTAAGCGGCCGGTCAGCCTCCTGTCACAGATAAGGAGAGCGGTGTGGGCGGAGACAGCCAGTGCTGTCACAGGAGGCTGAGCTCCGCTCGCTCAGCCTCCTGTGACAGCTGTCAGGATGGAGAGCGGGTACAAACACTCAGCAATCAGTGATCGCTGAGTGTTTGTAAATCATTGAGGTCATGGTATGTTGACTATATCCTCAATTATGGCACCCCAGTCACGCCTGGCAGATTGCGCGGTTTCCCGCCACAATACCGCCCGTGCAATCAGACATAATCACGGTTGAAAACACTGCATGGTGCGTGTTACAAAAAAAGGTACATGTACCTTTTTTCAGTGATTGCCACACGGATGTAACTCCACTGAAAGCAATGGGGCCGTGCGGCAACTGCTGCATGCAACCGCACACGATCGCCCAAGTCTGCACCAGCCCTAAAGGGTAAATTCACTTTCCCAAGTAATTTGGAAAAATTGAATTGCCTGCTCAAATCTGGCCCCCTCCCACTATACTTACCTTTCAGGGATCCTTCCATCCGCCAATATGGGTGTACTATCTGTAACTGTGCCATGTATTCTGAATTTCGCTCGCAAATTGCAAGCACTCGTTGGTCAGCGCGGTCACCTGACGCCACTGACCAATGAGAAGCTCTTCTTGGCACTGCTAAATACGGTTTTAGGTAAAATTTATTTTTTTGTATCAGGACAAGTAGATTGTCATGAGGGATAAGTAGATCGGGCCCCCGATCTCCTCAATCTCCCCGGGTCCTCAATCTCTTTTTCTATTTTTAAACCTCTACTATTTTTTTACACCTCTAATATTTCCCCGAAGCACTAAAAGGAAAGTAAAAAATAAAAATATTTAATAAAAACAAATAAATAAAAATATAAAAAAATATTTAAAAAATGTAAACGTTTAAAAAAAATATATATATATATTTTAATTTTTTTTGAAAAAGTTAGAATAAAAAACAATTTTCAGATTCGGTTTCGGCCTGACATTTTTTTTCAATTTAGTTCGTTCTTGAAATTTTCATTTTGGTGCACCTCTACCATTAACAATAGAGCCTTTTAAATTCAAATATGATATATACATATACCAGGGGTGGCCAAACTCCAGCCCTCCAGCTGTGGTGGAACTACAAATCCCATGAGGCATTGCAAGACTGACAGCCACAAACATGACTACCGGAGAGAGATGCATCATGGGATTTGTAGTTTCACCACAGCTGGAGGGCCGAAGTTTGGCTACCCCTGACATATACAGTATATACGTGGCACACATCTCAATGTGTGCATCTCTTGGGCCCCTCTGCTATTACCACTTTTTGGGAGCTCGTCTCCTTCCCGAAGTTCTCACATCTGCAAGCACCTTAAATTTGATACTAATTTATTATTCCAAATATTAACAACCTTATCATAATGTAAAGTCAAGTGTAGGGTGTAGTAAATAATTCTTTACTGTAATCTTACCATCAGTAAGGACAATCATTTACTTACCTATTTGCCAATTCCACTGGATGTTGATAACCGCATTGTATTCAAGGATCATGCTGAAGATGAAAAACCAATAGTGTGAAAATAAACAAATGGTACTGGACAGACAATGTGCAACCAACATGTCCCTTAGTACAAGATTTTAGCAGAGTTGTTAAAGCATTTGGTGAAACCTTACAGGGTTGGTTGAGGAGAAGCCTGCAGGAAACTCTGACAATTTGATAGAGGCTGACAAGTGCTTTACTTCTTTTTATTTCTAATTATTTTTCATCATACAAATATTTAGGGGAGTGCTTTCTCCAAGCCGACGGATCCCAGTCTAGCTTCCGATGAGGAGGCTCTGTGCTAATTTTTTTTCTGCTGCCTTTAGCTTGCCACTTTGCCTTGCCAGAATCAGAATCAGCTGTGGCCACTGCTTTTTTTTTTTAAACATCTAAAAATGGAATCAACCTAGAACAGGAAGTGCCTGTTTTATAGTGGGCAGGATCTATTGTGTCCTCTATTTAGTTTTTGAACTTTTGCGGATATGATGTTTCTGCTGCAAAAGGGCTGGTACCCAACATATACCAAATGTCACGTGCAAAGCACTTTTTGGTCAGATTGATAATGCAAGTCATTTAGCAGGCTGATAAAAGAACTCACACAACTCTAACCATCCCTTTAGACAATATAATTTTCATATACTTAGTGGACAGAGAACATTACAGATCTCTCCCAGCACTGCTGGCACCTACACTAACCTTGCCCGATGCCATGCAGTAGAGCCATCAGAAATTTTGGGGCCCCTTACACAGCTTTAGGCCTGGGCCCCCGTACCAACACTGCACAGGCCGGTCCACTGGCTGTCCAATCGAGTCCACCCACTGGCCGTCCCTCCGGGTTCTTCAATGCACCCACTTTTATTTAACACTATTACAACTTAATATATGCGACTGATGTGTACTCCAAAGCACAGGCAACAGGTAACACAGACTCTGCTGGGATGACACCGCATAGGTAACACCGACAGTTCCCGGGTGACACCGCACAGGTAACACCGACAGTTCCCGGGGTGACACCGCACAGGTAACACCGACAGTTCCCGGGGTGACACCGCACAGGTAACACAGACAGTTCCCTGGGTGACACCGCACAGGTAACACAGACAGTTCCCTGGGTGACACCGCACAGGTAACACCGACAGTTCCCGGGGTGACACCGCACAGGTAGCACCGACAGTTCGGAAATGACACCGCACAGGTAGCACCGACAGTTCGGAAATGACACCGCACAGGTGGCACCGACAGTTCGGAAATGACACCGCACAGGTAGCACCGACAGTTCGGAAATGACACCGCACAGGTAGCACCGACAGTTCGGAAATGACACCGCACAGGTAGCACCGACAGTTCGGAAATGACACCGCACAGGTAGCACCGACAGTTCGGAAATGACACCGCACAGGTAGCACCGACAGTTCGGAAATGACACCGCACAGGTAGCACCGACAGTTCCGAAATGACACCGCACAGGTAGCACCGACAGTTCCGAAATGACACCGCACAGGTAGCACCGACAGTTCCGAAATGACACCGCACAGGTAGCACCGACAGCTCCGAAATGACACCGCACAGGTAGCACCGACAGTTCCGCAATGACACCGCACAGGTAGCACCGACAGTTCCCGGGGAGACACTGCACAGGTAACACTGACAGTTCCCATGGTGACACTGCACAGGTAGCACCGACAGTTCCCGGGGTGACACCGCACAGGTTACACCCACAGTTCCCGGGGTGACACTGCACAGGTTACACCCACAGTTCCCGGGGGGACACTGCACAGGTAGCACCGACAGCTCTGAAATGACACCGCACAAGTAGCACCGACAATTCCGAAATGACACCGCACAGGTAGCACCGACAGTCCCAAAATGACACCGCACAGGTATCACCGACAGTACCAGAATGACACCGCACAGGTAACACTAACAGTTCCGGAATGACACCGCACAGGTAACACTAGCAGTTCCGGAATGACACCGCACAGGTAACACTAACAGTTCCGGAATGATACCGCACAGGTAACACTAACAGTTCCGGAATGACACCGCACAGGTAACATTGATCGTTCTGGAATGACACCGCATCACACAAACCAACATTATAAAAGTCCCCACCTAATCTCTCCTCCTGCCCTCTGAGCAGGTTTTTTGCTGATGTTGCCTCGTGTCAGCCCATTAATTTCAATGGGCTGCCGCACACACACCAAAGAAGCTGTTGTTATTTTAAAGATACGGGTAAAGTTCCTCTTTAAGCATATAGCACAAATGTCAAAGAGATGTGATTAGAACTTTTCCCCTCAATTACATGTTGGAATAGAAGCCCTGAGAAAGGTACATCCATATATATATGATGAAGGTCACCTCCCATCTGTACATTCTTGATGATTTACATGAATAATTGGCAGTCAGACTAACTACCTTCAGATGACATTGCCATCTATAATCCCTGGGCCAACTCCAACTTTGAGTAAAGCCCTCCTGGATAGATCTTGACAGCAGGCAGAATGGTCTTTACGAGTCACTGGAGATCAAAAGCAACCCAACCATAATAAAACGGGCATGTGAGGTCAATGTGAACACGAGGATCAGGGAATTTATTGCTTGAGATAAAATAGAAAAAAAATTATTTCCCAATTAGATGTGATGGATCATTTCTAAAGATCCTCTCGACTAGGATACCTTGGAGGACTTATCAGAAACTTTACAAGTCCGCATGAATAAAACATATCTTACCATTAAATCACCAACCACTAAGCTCCAGTTAAGTGACTGAGGAGGCCTGAAAAGCGCAGTCTGGGAAAATGATGCGATCGGCCTGCTGCAGGCAGAAGAAAGCACTATTTTAGGCTTGCCATACACCAGCAGAATTTTCATTTCAGAATGTTTGTTTTCTACTCTTATTTTTAGTGGTGTGTAACTGACATTCATTTTTGACAATAGTGTTGTCACTATTGAAACTAAGAAACTAAGTCACTAAGAAAATCAAAGCAGCTTGGACATCCCCCCCCCATTAAATGAACTAATTAAATTCATCCCTAGATCAAAACAAGCACTTAGTCCTTGCAGTGCAGGGGTAGCCCCACTGCAAGGGTTGATTTGAATAAATCCTGGAGGTCTTATTTAATGAAATGTCACTTGTAACATTTCAATAAAGTTCTAAAAGAAAGAAAAAAGATAAATAGTGCATTTGTAGTTTCAAAAGCATTTTCTATTTTTTTTTTTAATCTGCAGCTCTCATAAAAAAAAAACAAAAAAAAAACCCAGTGATCCTGCCCTGCAAGTCTCTGTTTGTCTCCTGATATAGAGTGACAATTGTAATGACACATTGCAAGGGCATGGCTGACCGATATCACCGTCAGGAAATGCACCCTGAGAAATGACATGCGGCCATCACTGGAATGTAGACAGGAAGTGGCTGCAAAAAGCACTGAGATGCAACAAAGAATGGAAAAAGGTAAATGGTATTTTATGCAAAATAAATAAAGGAAACGATTTCGAATATGCAGAGCTTTAGCAAACTACAAGTCCATTCATGCTTTACATTTACAGGCTACTGGAACTATGTTTACTCTAAGACCATCTACCAATCATATTGCTTTAATTGTGCACCATTCAGATAATAGTTTATTGGAAGGCAGCAGTGAGGTAGCAGGATCTTAAAGAGGTCATTTCCACCCTCCTTTTTCTAACTTCTTTACAGCTTTCTCTTCTAAATCTATTATCAATTGAATACGGTACATCAGAACTGTTATCACTTCATACTGTATCTGATGTGGATATGGCTTATGGCTGTGGCTTAGTCCTACTTAATACTGCCCTACCTAGAATTCTACACACCTAGCAGAGTATTAAAGTGTAGTTCCATCTTTGCAGCGGTATTTGAGAAACCTCCAATATATTTTTGTTATGCATATCAAAAAATAATTAAAGTGGAAGTAAACTTAAAAAAAAAAATAAACTGTTAAAAAGTACAAGCAGAAGAGACATGCAAATTGGTCAGCGATGGAGGAGGGCACACTTGTCAGGTAAAAAATAGGGATGCACGATACCGATACCAGTATCTGTGCCGATACCGAGTATTTGGGCGAGTACAAATGCTCCGATACCTTCCCCGATACCGGAACTTCGCAGTGCCACGAGGGAACATGGAGCCGGCTCCCCGACCAATCAGTAAGCTGGGCGGTGGGTAATGACTCGCCTCCCGGCTTCCTGATTGGCTGGGAAGCCGGCTCCATACCGATTGGCTGGGAAGCCAGCTTCCCAGCAAATCAAGAAGCCAGGCGGCGGGTAATGACACGCTGCCAGGTTTCATGATTGGCCGGGAAGCCGGCTCCATACTGATTGGCTGGGAAGCCAGCTTGCCACCAAATCAAGAAGCCAGGCGGCGGATAAGGACACGCTGCCCGGCTTCCTGATTGCCCGGGAAGCTGGCTCCACGCTAGCGGAAGTAGTCGAAAAAATGGTATCGTTGCATAACTAGCAAAAAGTGACAAAAGTTGAAATGACCTTTTGCAACTTTACTTTGGGTTTAAATAATATACTCCTACCTTCCTAGTCGTTTCTTTGGAGCAGGTTTATACATAGAACTCTACTGCATACACACATTGCAAGATTTTTTAACAATAGAAACAGCATGCTTCTATTGTTGGAAACTCTGGCAATATGTGCTTATTTAGGGACACTGCAGGGACTGACAGGATTGACAGTGCATCAATATACTGTACAATGTACTACCCCAAGTGTTAAGATCTTTTAGCCTTTGTTAGGACAGACAGTGTGCACATCTAGCTTACAACTATTAAGGAAGATCAGCCAGCGCAGTACAGGCAGGTTAGTATTGCAGAAAGAGCTGAATTTTTATTTTCACAGGACTATGGATTTATAAACAAAATGTACAAAGTGCAATAAGGCTTTAGGGCCTGTTCACACCATCTCCAGCCCAGCGCTTTTTTTTTTTATTTGCACCAAAAATGCATACACACTAATTACTGTACAATTATTTTAAATGAGGCTAGTTCAAAAGATTCAGATGGTGGCTATGGGTCAGTGCACTTTACATGCTGGCCATATGCCCCATTTACACGGGCACCATCTGATTCGATCAGCAGGGGATCCGTGCACGGATGGATGCCATTCTGAGCTTTATGCACAAATGTTAAGTTTACGGGGAGTCGCATGTAAGCGGACATGCATCCGCTTACACCCGATTACCTCTGATCTGTCATGTTTTGGTCTGTTTCACGTTTTACGCACCTCTATCGTTCATTTTTTTTTTTCAGACCTAGACGGAGTCAGGGCAAATCGTATGTAAATGGACGCATGTCCGTTTATGTCCAGCTGCCCATAGAGAAAGATTGGGCTTCTGATCACATCCACCTGAAACCGGACAGACGGAATTGGTACCACCCATGGGAAAGGGGCCTAACTAAATAATCCCCTATTAGTTAAATCATCAGTCTGAAAGCATGGAGCAGTGAGGCAGCAGAAGTGGGCTTTTCATGACCCACAACCTCATGAAAATGATGCTGCAGAGACAAGAGTATCGCTTCTGTCCAAAAGTAATGTTATGAGAGTAATGTTAACGATCAGACTCTTACAGCTGTATGCCGCTGATGAACGTCCCGAAGAGGCCCAGCATCCCCAGGAACTCCTCCCGAGTCAGGTTCTTCACCACATATTCCTCGGTCACATTAGAAACCGCATACAGGCATGCTGCGAGGATAACCAGGGCGTCTCCGATCAACATGTCACTGGCTGCAACAACAACAAAAATCAGCACATAAAGTGATGCAAACTATGATATTCAATTTAGATTGGGAATGTGCCACAGAAAAAAGGTTCAGATACTTTACATATATGTAGCCCTGTACTAGGGATCATTTAACCCATTCATGTTAGCAGAGGATAATTGTAAATGTATTGTTGCAGGCACTCTATATGTACATGTACTATATACGACATATAGAATGCACTGAACAATAGATTTACAATTATCCTCTGCTAATATGAATGGGTTAAATGATCCGTAGTACATAATATGTAGCCCTGTACTACGGATCATTTAACCCATTCATGTTACCAGTGGAGAATTGTATATCTATATGTACTGTACATATCGAGCACAAATGTCCCGTACATTGCAGCATTAGCTTTACAATAATCCCCTGCTAACATGAATAGGTTAAATGATCCTTAGTGCAACTACATGTTATGTACTATGGATCATGATTTAACCTATTCATGTTAGCAGGGGATAATTGTAACTCTATTACTGCCGTGTGCTGGACGTATGTGCTGTATATGTATTATGGATCATGATTTAACCTATTCATGTTAGCAGGGCAGAATTGTGAGCGCCTCCCACAAGCTGAGCACCAAGATGCGATGCAGCGTTCCTGCCCAGCGCCGACTACAAGAGGCATCGCGTGAGGCTACGGGGATCGGAGTGAAACTGTGAGTAAGGGAAGCTGGGACGGGGCTGGCTGTAAATCTATTGCTATAGTGTACTGGACGTGTGTAATGTATATGTAGTGCATATATACAGCACACACCTCCACTACACTCCAGCAATAGAGTTACAATTCTCCACTGCTAACATGAATAGGTTAAACCATGATCCATAGTACATAACATGTAGTTGTACTATGGATCATTTAAAGTCACCTGTCCCTTTAAGAAAAAGTATCGGTAATTGGTATCGGCAAGTACATGAGGGGATGTACTTGTACTTGTACTTGGGCCTGAAAAAGTGGCATCGGGACATCCCTAATAGAATGTATTGTTAATGGAGTATTCACACACCACAAGATAGACAAGTATGTTGCATCTACAGTATAAACAAATCAATGACAAAGAAATGATTTAGGAATGTCCAGATACCAGTGCCAATACTTTTCATGAGTACTTCCAGGGTTGCAGCAGGTGCAGCTTGGACCTGGCTCTGGGGCTCCACCACTGTCCTGAAATCATTAGTCTGTATTGTTTTAGAAAAACGGTCACATGACAATGCTCCGTACGCTTCTTAAAAATGACAGCTGCCTCCTAACTTTTGAATTTTTCTCTAGTCTAGTCCTGGAGTTGGAAAATATCTGTACATGTACCGAGTGCGGTACTTGGTATCTGGACATCCCTAAAATTATTGATCACTGTAGAAACAAATACTGCCATACAGTCATGAACAAGCTTAATTTTTCTTTGCCTGGCCATACACTCATCACATTTCCTCCTAGTCCTGTGGACAAGCCTTCAATTGACTTCAGCCGAAGGAGCTGATGCGAAAATCCTCAGCAGAACATTGACCTCCCTTAAACATCTTACTTAAAATGAAGCTTGACTTGGTAGGACACAGAATTGTTTTTATTAGGTGTCTAACCTTTGCCGCTTTCTCTTCCAGATAGAACATCTGCTCCAACCATGGTGCCAACTCCCAACAGACAGACCACAACAGCAATATAATGGATCAATTTGTATCTTGAGTGAAGGATAAACCAAGACAGTGCCATCAGTACAGGGATTCCAACACAGTCCAGAAGCTATATGGCCAAAAAGGAGGAAAAGTCAATGAGGACAGATTGAAAACGCCAGGGATCAGGAGTGTTCACTGTATTGTGCTTAACCTCTTGCCGTCCGCCCGTAGTAAAAAAACGGACGGACGGCACTGCAGCATCTGTTTCATTTCAGTACAGCGCTGCATGACGGAATAAATGTCAGTTAAAGTACCGCAGCGCTGAATACTGAAAAATGGCCTGGATGGGAAGGGGGTTTAACACCGCGGATGTCAACTGGTTAAAGCACTGAGCTGAGCACTTCCAGGTTCACTGCACACAGGAGGGATCAGGGAACTGATATTGCCCAATTCCCAACTACTCTCCATCCTACAAAAATTTGCACTGGCCCTAGCCTAGGAGAGGTAGGTGAGCCTGGGGATCATAGCTGGGGCAGCTCTCACAGCCGTATGTAGCTATAAGTGATTGCGTGGCTTGTTTCAACCCTGCCAAAAAGCATAGGACAAGTCCTTTGCAGTCAAGGGGTTAAAGGAGAACTATGAGATGAGTGATTTCCACTCACCTCATAGTTCTAGCCGACCTGTCACAATGAGACTGTCACAGGTCGGCTCAGTAGATCGGGAGGTGAGCGAACAGATACCGGCGTTCGCTCACCTCTCGATCCTGTCACAGCTCTCTGCCGTAACAGGGGAGGGGCTGGATTCCCCCTCCCTGCTCCGATCCGCCAGCGCTGACTGGGGGAACGGACAGGGGATGGGGCGGGTACAGCTGGCTCTGCCTCTAGATAGGCAGAGCCAGCTGTCACTCACGCAGCTGGGCGGATCTCGACATCGATGTCGGGATCTGCTCCGGCTGCAGCGTCTCAGTATACTGAGCTTAGGGTAACGGGAGGACGCTAGTTTGTGCCCTCCTGTTACCCTAAGGAGAACTATGGGAAAAAGCCCTGACCCCATAGTTCTCCTTTAAGGGGTGGACCATCTAAAACTGATAGTTGAGTTTTTTGCAAATACTGGAAAGCTCACACGACCTACTTGTAGCTCTCAAGGACTCTTCCTGATTTCTCACTTACTTTAAAATAATGGACTATACACTAATAAGGATTGAAAGTCAAAATGAAAAGGTAGACAAGAAATACGGCATGGAACAGAACAAAAGTTTTCGGAGCCATGATCTTGACGTGGGATTTTTAGGTGTTATTATTGGTATCATTTGGCTTTATTTTGCACCAGCGAACAATAAATTGGCTCATCTATTAGGAGGTACTTGCATGCATAGATAAGGTGACTGACCAGGTACACCACGGGGGGTGATCAATGCTGATCCTCAATAGGGAAATGTGCATCCCAAATGTTATTGGTATTATATAGGTGGGTGAGCTCCTGGTTCTTATGGGGACTTCTTAAAGGGTTTTTGATTTTTGTGGGACTTTTATTGTGCTTTGTTACTAATAAAGAATATGTATAAAGATATATTTATTGACTTGATGCTTTGCTCTTGGTTAGGATTGCTTTTATTTGTAGGATTATGTTTTGGTGCTGATTAGGGAAGTAAATACTTTTCTGGATTAAGCTATTGCTAGAAAGCAGGTTAAAGGACAACTCCAAGTTTTTATCAAATTAACCCTTGCAGTGGGGCTACCACTGCAATGGTTAAGTGCTTGTTTAGGTTTAGGGGTGAAAATAAAGAAGATATAGTCACCTGAGCCTCTGTCCTGTGGTGGCTGCTCACCTCTCTCCCCCTCCGCTCCGGCATCTCCCTCTGTGTCCTCACGTCTAATGCAGGAGAATGGACCTGAATTAGACCTGATTATGTCAGCAGGGCTTAGCCCGGGGAAGAAGAGGCTGTGGGGAATGGTCTACGAGCCAGGCAGGATCAAGGATCAGTTGAGTATTTTCTTTATTTGCACCCCCTAGACCAGATAGAGTGGGGAATGGTTAGAACCTCTTTTGGGTTTTCACTTCCATCTATGTCCCAGCTGGGGAGGTTCAGACCAGTCCCCGCAGCCTCTTCTCCCCCGGGCTCCGGCGGTCTAAGCTCCACCAATTTCCTCATCTCCCATACTAGTTCATTGACTTGCATAGGACATAAGGACGCTGAGGGACATACCACAGTCAGAGAAGAGGAAAAAAGAAGGCTGCGGGGACCAGTCTGGCAGCCAGGCAGGATCAAGTGGGTATTTTTTTTTAGTTGAGACCCTAGACCAAAATGAGCACTTAACCCCTGCAGTGCAGGGGTAGCCCCATGGCAAGGGTTCATTTTTTTTACATGCCCAGAGATCTTCTTTAAAATGATCTTGTAAGAGTTGAAGTTAGGAAGGTTAATGGGGTAAAAAAGAAACCAACTTAAGTTTTTGCCTTACCTGGACACTAGTGAGGGTAGTATACTGGTAGGCTTTCACAATGGAATAGTTTGCTTCTACATCGACAATACCAAGAAGTAGATACTTCCACCACTTGTGTCTCACTATGTACAGAAGCCCGTTCTCTCCTGTGCAATACAGAAACAGAAATGTTCAGCTACTTCCTTACAAAATGGGTTCAGTGCACAAAGCTATTTTACACAGAATTTTAAACGGCTGGTTTGTGTGGTCGACTCAAGTAATGTCAGGATTCAAAAACTTTTCCAATCCGGACTACAATTTAATATCCTTTAACAGACCTTAGGCTGGGTTCACACCTAGGCGTATTGCATATGCGCGTTTGTCGCGCGTTTTTACCGCAATTCGCGGTAAAAAAAACGCGCGACAAACACGCGTTTCCGAGGGCTACTTGGCTGTATCCCAGTGGAAACGCCCGACCAAAACGCCCCAAAGAAGTACATGGACTTCTTTGGGCATAGGGCGGTTTCCTGCGCGTTCGTACTCGCGGAAAAACGCCCAGATGGGAACCATGCACATTGAAAATAATGGCATTTCCCGGTTTGAGCGTTTTTCTGCGAGTACGAACGCGCGTAAAAACGCCCAGGTGGGAACCGGGCCTTAGGCCTCACGCACACGGGTCTAGTAGCTGCGGCTGGTGATTCCTGCAGGAATCCCAGGTGGGTTCGTACAATTTAATGACACACTGACAGCTGCTGCATGTGTCCGTGGCCGTCTGCTTGTAACAATACATTGAATGATTACCTGCGGATCAGGATAGCTGCTTGTCCCCAGACCTATCATCTACTGCATGGATCCACCTGAGATTCCTGCTGAAAGAATCTGCAAGTTCTTGCTGCAGGAACCCTCAGCCGCAGCTTCTAGTCATGTGTGCATCAGGCCTTAGGGCAAAGGAACAGGTTTGGTCTACACTTTTCTTCCCCCCTCCCAGCAGTCCTATGTCCTAATAAAGTGAAGATCAGATAGTCAACAGCACACATGTAATGGAATCATAGATTCTGCCTCAAATTATATGAAATCATCGTCACAACTGGCATTATACTACCAACGTTTTGGGGCCCTTCCTCAGGGTGACGTAGTGACGTTATGGTGACTATCTGATCTTCACTTGGAGAACCATACAGCACCATCCGTGTCATCACTATGCACACCAATCTGCAAGGTCACAACACTGTATGGAGTGCAGGTGAAAAATGACACTATTGCTAGGCCCTATTCACACTTGCATTTAGAGGCAGTCTGATGAACTTCTCCGTGCGACTCAGTGGTGTTTATGTGAACATCTGACTGCAATTGCTTCCATGTAAATTGGACAGATGATTGCCCTAGATGGCAACTGTTTTGCATAAACACCCCTGAATCTCACAGAGGAATTTGCAATACTGCCCCTAAACGCAAGTCTGAATGGTGCATTATACGCACCTCTCCCTTGACCCCCCCTTCACTGGAGCTGGAAAAAAAAAAGAACCCTTTGCCTTATGACAGCGATGGACTAATTAGCACTATCGCATGTGAAGACCATGGCCATGTATAAGCTATAAGTCCAGCAACTTGTAGCTGTATAGAGTATAGGTTGCAGGGAGGGCCAAATTAAAGTGAACCTGTTGATTTGCCCTGTGTGGTTAAAGCACAAGTTTGAAGAGGCATAAGAAAAGTTGGTTTACAGCTCATGCTTAACATATACTTCAGCTTGGAAGTTGATGTTACAAGTAGGACTTGACCAATATAGAAGGTAACAAAAAAGTTAACCAATTTTACTCTTACCTGGCCTAAACGCCAGCCAGACCGTGTAAACCATGAACAGCAGGCAATAGTTCAGAAAGCTCTGCAGCATCGGCGTGTCCACCCTATATCGCTCTGCCAAATACTGGCTGGTCACCGCAGTCCCGCATATGAAGAGAGACAGCAACTGGCCCATAAGAAGAGTCTTCAGGACATACCTGCAAAGGCAAATAACAGCAACCAAGAAGAATGTACACTTGTAGAAGCAAGAAATGTTAAAGAGGAACAAATGTATTATATTTCTAATCAAAATTTGAAAAAAAAAAATAAAATAAAAAATTTATGAATCCGCTGCAGAACAGCCGTTCCAAAAACGCCACTAGCTCTGACTCTATTACAGACAGCCAATGGCCCAGGATGAAAATAGATCACAGAGCCCACACACCATGATTAAGCACTCAATGGTGTAAAACTCATCGACATCTTCTATACTGTTGTGTTCCATTTACAATAAAGTCTCATGGAATCTCTCACTGGCTCTGTGATCTATTTACAAACAAAAAGTGTCTAAAATCTTAGAAGCGGATTTATAAATATTCTGTCCCATGTATAGCTTGTCTTTTAGATTGTAAGCTCTCAGGGTCAGGGTCCTCCTTATCATCTTGTCTTGAATTGTATTGTGATTGTAATGTCTTCTTTACATTGTAAAGCGCTGTGCAAACCATTGGCGCTAAATAAATCCTGTATAATAATAATAATAATAATATTAAAATAATAGCTGGATGGCTTCCATTTGCATGGCACTACATTTCTACTATGAGCCTGTATATTCGGTGATACCTTTGTCAGCACCTTAAAAGGAGAACTATGAGGCGAGTGCTTTTCACTCACCTCATAGTTCTAGCCTACCTGTGACAATGAGACTGTCACAGGTCGGCTCAGTAGATCGGGAGGTGAGCGAACACATAATGGCGTTTGCTCACCTCTCGATCCTGTCACGGCTACCTGCCGTGACAGGGGAGGGGCTGGATTCCGCCCTCCCTGCTCGGCCAGCGCTGACTGGAGGAACGGATGGGGAGGGGGCGGGTACAGCTGGCTCTGCCTCTAGATAGGCAGAGCCAGCTGTCAGTCACGCAGCTGGGCGGATCCAGGCACAATTGTCGGGATCCGCTTCAGCTGCGGCGTCTCAGTATACCGCGAGCAGCAGCTCGCGGTATACTGTGGCGTCTCAGTATACCACGAGCTACAGCTCGCGGTATACTGAGACTAGAGTGATGGGAGGACGCTAGTTTGTGTCCTGGTTGCTCTGGTTGCTATTGGTTACAGCATTATGGACCATGAATACTGTGTGTACACACATTAGAACAAAAGCTTGTTCAGGAATATGTACACACACACACGGACGGACTTTGTTGCCGGAAACAAAAGGAACAATGGAAATAAAACATCCTGCACCCCGCAGGTGGTCAGAAACACAGTTTGCCGGATGTACACAATATAACAGGAAGAAATGTGAGCGTTCAAGGAGAAGTAACAAAAACCCAAAACAAACAAACTATCAAACAAAATCCGCCTGAACTCCATTGAAAATATTTCAGGATTCTGGCAAGAGATCAATGATGGTCAAGATTAATATCGGGAACACGCGTCAAACTTGCACAAACGTTGAATACACTTGTGTTGCCATTACTTGGAAATGGCACCCCAAGTGCGGCACAGCAACTTTGGTTTCAACCCGCACATTCGTATGCGTGAGGACATGCAAGAAAAAAAAATTGCAACCTGTTGAACTTTTCCACATTTGATGCGCGTCCAGGGAACCAATGGGGATGCGCGCCAAATGTGGGAAACAAAGTTCCGCAAATGTTGTGAACGAGGCCTAAAGTGCAACTGAAGCCAAAACTTATTTTCTTCTGGATAGAGGAAAGAGGGATCAGAACCCCCATCAGGATTTTAATGCAACAGCGGTATTAACACTCGCCATATTTATCCAAAATGAAAACCGTGGCTTCAGTCCCCGTTCACACCTAGACGTGCTGACGCTCAAAGATAAGCATGACAAAACACTCAACACAAGAAATCCCTTTCGCTTTAATGGCCCCAGTTCATACCCGAGCGTATTGTCACAAGCTGTAAAACGTCGATGCCACAAGAAGCACACAAGCTTCTTTTTGGCAGATTACAGCGCGTTTGCTCCCCATAGACTTCAAAGGAAAGCCGCGGCAAGCGGTTTAAACATTTCTGTGTGAGATTTTGTGTGCGTTTGTCCATTGACCGCAATGCCTCTCAATCTGCCAGCTGACATGTGCGCGTGTCGAACGTGTGCAAAAATGCGCTAAACATGCTAGATGAATATGCACGCTAATATGCATGAAAATGCCCACGCCTAGGTGTGAAATCGGCCTTAGAGATACTTTAATGAATGAGAAGAATGGTCACTGGGTGGGGGGGGGATATGGCACATGCGGCTCTGTCTGGCATCCCGCTCCGTTTACAGACATCACTGGTTGACAGGAGCTAGGCAAGACGCCAGCCAGAGCACCCCAGCAACCCGTGACTTCAGTGAGCTGAGCGGGACGCCGGACAGAGCGTCACAGGTTGCTAAGAGCTTTTAGCAACCTGGGGCACTGAGGCTGCGCCCCCCCCAACACAGTTGCCGCCCCCCATTGAGATGCCACCTGAGGCAACCACCTCATTATAGGGATGGTCCTGACCACCAGCAATAATAAAATGCATACATTCAGAATGATGGGGGCCGAGGTCATCTGGCCATGTGCCGCCGACGCTGCTTACACATTGTAAATGTTTACATCTTGGTCCTGAGCTCACCAGGCAGCTCATATGGTTCATTTACCTCCCAAGGCCTCTCTCGCTCCCTCCTCACCTCCAGGACTTCTACAGACTCTCCCATCCTCTGGAACCCTCTACCCCAACCTGTCCACTTATCTCCTACTCTGTCCGCCATTTATACAACCCCTGAATTCTATCCCACCCACCGAACAACTGAAATACTTCCTCCTTCAGCTCGTCCCCCCAGCAGTTATTACCTTGTGTATCACTTTGCCCCTGCTTTTAGATTGTAAGCTCTCTTGCCCAGGGCCCTCCAAACTCCTTGCCCTGCATTGTATTAGAATTGTATTGTTTCCCTTTACTGTGTACAGACCAAAGTGAAGCTGTGTGAATGGGCCCCTAGTATACAATTCTGATCACACCGCATGTATGTGACCTAACCTGTACACCTCAGTCCCAGCAATTACCATGAGAACATCTTCCCCCAAAGACGGGAAAGGAAGTCACACATCCGGGGGTTCTGTAGAGGAGGAGGTGAGGTGGCGAGGGCAGCCTGACTGGCTTCCATATCCTCCATCCTTCAGCCAAAGAGAGAAGAGCCAAACGCATGCAGAGGAACAATGAGGCTCCAATGCATATGTGTATACTCAGCAATGCTCCGATGACCTCGAATTTCTAAACAGTTAGGATCCAATACATTTGTAAATGCAGTGATGCTCCTGTATTTGTACACAATGACGATCCAATGCAGTTGTATGTGCTCAGCGATGCTCTGACGCTCCTGTAATTGTACACAAAGAGGATCCGATGCAGTCGTATGTGCTCAGTGATACTTTAATGGTGCTGTATTTGTACACATTAAGGATCCAATACAGTTGTGTGTGCTCAGCAAAACTCTGATGGTCCTGTACTTGCGCAGAATGAGGTGCCAATACAGTTGTGCATGCTCAGTGATACTCTGATGGTCCTGTATTTGTACACAATGAGGATCCAATGCAGTTCTGTATGATCAGTGACGCTATTATGGTCCTGTACTTGCTCACAACGGAGATCCAATACAGTTGTGTGTGCTCAGTGATGCTCTGATAGTCCTGTATTTATACATAATGAGGGTCCAATGCAGCTGCCTGTGCTCAGTGATACTCTGATGGTCCTGTATTTGTACACAATGAGGATCCAATGCAGTTCTGTATGATCAGTGACGCTATTATGGTCCTGTACTTGCTCACAACGGAGATCCAATACAGTTGTGTGTGCTCAGTGATGCTCTGATGGTCCTGTATTTGTACACAATGAGGATCCAGCAGTGGCGCTGTGATGCTGTGTAATACGATGCAGAGTCCCGGATGTAAATGAACTGTGATGGTCCTGTACACAGTCCCTGTGCTCGCTGAGCAGGTGACAGCTCGGACAGTCCTGACACATCACCCTGAGCTCCGTCCGCTCACCGTGTGGATCAGATTTCTCAGGGAGGGGGCGTGTCCTGACGTCACATCTACCTAACGTGGTAGCCAGACATTACTAGACGACTCCCGGAGAAAGCACATGGCCAGAATGCTTCATCGAGTGCTGAACCATCGCTCTGACCTATGTGTGTAATACAAGCTATATACACACGTGCCGGCGTGTGCTGTGTTGTTTCAGGGCTGAGCGATGACAATGAATTGCAGCAGGTGTGAAATGGGACATTTTATATTCCAGTTTATTGCGGCTCGTAGACTTATCCTGTGAGTTTAAAGGCTAATTCCACCTTTTCAAAAACAAATGCACCACAAGAGACATGTGCATTGATTTATATTGAATTACCATATCAATTATGATTAGTGTATTGAAAGTGCGATGAGCAGGCTCCTGCAGACTGTTCTTCCAGCCCAGGTCCTTATGGATTGACCTTCTGTCATGGGGCTGGAGGAAGTCATGAATGAACTACAAGAGCAGTGATGTCACCAAACTTGTATTTGTATAATGAGGCAATTGGCTCAGGCAACAACTCATTGAGAACTGGTGGGGGTGGCCACAGTGTGCCAGGTTGCTAGCTCTGTGCCGCTTCCCGCTCAGCTCACTGATGTCATCGGTTGCCAGGAGCTGAGCAAGGACACTCTGACATGCATCTAGCTCCTGGCAATCAGGGACCCGGGTAGATTGTCCCTGCTCAGCTCCTGGCAACCGGTGACGTCAGTGAGCTGAGCGG